TAAATCTGGTTTTAAAAAAAGTTACGAAACACTCCCCAAAATGAAAGCAAAGAAAAAAGCTCTTGTTTCTGTATCATCTCCCAGAGAACAAAGAAATATGCTAGTGCAAAACCCCCATGTGCCCTCAGATGCCTTTGTGTCAGCTTTGTACCTTATACCTGGTTTGGTTTTTTTTTCCTGGTGGGATAAATAAAGAAATCAAAAATATACTCTAACAAGTTTCAAGTCTCCTGTCCAAATTTATATATTAAGTGTAGAAGTCCACGTTCCATCATTATTGTTATTTCAAGTGAAAAGTTCTCTCTGAAAATGTAAAATAGGCCCATTAAAAAGCCAAACGTACATTAGTTACCTGCTCCCCTCCCCCACTCCTTTTTTATTTTTTAAAGGATATATTCTGCATGATGGAGGCTAAAAGGTGGCAGCTGTGCCAAAGTAGTGGACCCTAAATCGCTGAGCAAAAATGAGAGAGGGGAGGCTCTGATTGCTCACAGTACAGGAGTGAATACGCGCTCTCAACCACAAATCAAGCAAACTGAAAAAAAAAAAAAAAAAAAAGGCCCAATCAAGGCAGTAATGGCCTCCACTTCACAATCAGACAAGTGCTTCTTACTTGAAAAATCCTACCATTTATAGCTGATTGCTAACCCTGGCCTCATTTCTAATCTAAAGGGCGAGTAATAATTTGGAAAAGGAATTATAACAACTTCCCAACAATTTAGCAAATTGTTATTATTTCAGGGGGAGGGGAGGAGGGTGGAAAGGATTTGCTTTTGTAACATGTTTCTCTTGTGGGCTACCATTTTCATGACATCAAATCCCATTGCTGCCATGCTAGAATAGCAACTAATATATATTGGAAATTTTTTTTTAAATGGTGAGATTTTATGCCACGTCACATGTTTCAATATGGTCAAAGTTATGGGTCTCCAAAGAAAAAGGGAGAAAGAGGAGCTGTCAGTCCTTTTGCACACATTTACCTACAATAGTCCCAAATAAGTCTGAATGAATATCCTTGAGTATCTCTGTTCTGGAAAGGATTTTGACCTTTTGGAGAATTTGACTTCATTAAAAAAAAATAATTCTGTTAAATGTTCCACTGGGTTTTTCATTCAGTGTTCAGTGTTGATGGATTTGTTTCAGGTATGGTTTCTGCTGATAGAAATATTGCAGTGTATGGTCTTCTTCACTTTTATTTTTGAATTTATACATTAGAATGAATATATTATATATGTGGTAATCATTTCATTAACATGTAACATCCATAAAAGTGAGGTACCTTTAACACAAGTATCGTTTGGGAGATTATTTTCTACTGAGCAAGACACACACACGTGCGTGTGTATATAGTATTTTCTTCACCAAGCAGGTGACATACATATTTCGTGTAATATTGTATGAAAAAGATGTGGACCATGCTGCTTTCTGAGAAAGAAATTAGATGAAAAGAGTACAGAACAGAGGGAAATATTTAACCTAAGTGGCAAGAAAGGTAGTGGAAGCCACACTATTCAGCATCTTAATTATTATACAAATGAGGAAGCAAAGGCTGCAGAAAGGTAGTAACTTCCTTAAAACTAGTAATTGACAAAGATTAAATTAAAACTTGGCTAGCCTTACTCCCACTACCACACCTTTTGCATTGTATCCTATTCTTTCAATATCATTCTTCCAAGTGGCTTTAAATGACATGTTTTTAGTAATATGGCATGTTAGCCTCATATAGTACAGACACCAGTGATTTTTGTAATAAGATACACTTAACATCAACATGCAACTTTAAGCCTCTAGTGTCAGCAATAATATTGTTTCTGCATGTTTCGCCACTTTCCATTATCTTTGTAACAAAACTTTGCTGTAGTTTAGAGCCCTTTTATCCTTCCATATAAGATGATTAAAATACTACCTATGGAAAATAAACCACATTCTTTTTTATTTCCCAAATTAAGACCAGTTACCCAAAATAGAATAGACAATTAGTAGCAGAACCAAAATATATTGTTCTTTCACTTCTCTTTTCAGAAGAGAATTCAGTGGGCAGAATTCAGACCTCTGCAGATGTACAAAAGGCAATTGATGTGTCTGGAAAATCAGACTATAATTCTGATACTAAGTTAGAAAAAGTGGAACTCCTGATCGTTTGAATCAAAGTAAATGTAATGAACATTTTAAAATTATTTATTCCTTTTTAGTGGAAAAAATAACTTCCTTTTGGTATTTTCCATATGGCTAACAAATACTAGGTATAGAAAATATATCTAGTTTTTGAATCAAAGGAAATGCTTTGATTATAGATTGAAAATGTTAAACATAATATACTATGCTTTCTGAAGAGCAACAGATTTTAAGCAGATCTAAAAAATTGGATTTAGAAAAACAAATATAAGTATCTTTATTTATGTATGTAACTGGAGTAAGGAGGCTAAATTTTTCAGATACCCCAAAATGATTTATAGCTTGCAATTACCCACTCCATTCAATATAAACAGGATCATAATTCATATTACATAATCTGTAGCACATTCTAAAATACATAATGCTCCTCTGGAAAAAAAGGTTCTTATATCATCTCTCACGTCCAGCACGATGGCCTTAAAGGGAATTTTTTAAAAGAAATAAAGGATTGCTATTATTAAGTCCCAGAGTGGGAAAACAAAGTACTTTAGAAAGGAGCTTGAGATCTGAAAACTTTTATGAGAAGGAAATCTGAGATATTGTAATGGGAGGTATTCATTTTGCTATGGAAAGTCAAGCGCTTGTTCTAATGGATACATTTGCTATACTTCACAGCAGTTTAAAAATCTGCAAAAAATCCGTAAGAGTTTCACTATGACTCAGGAGTGTCAGATGTAAAGGCTTGAAGAAAAGAACCAAGCAAACCCCCAAGCTCACTAAGTATTAAGCAGTGACCACGGGCAAAAACCGGAGGTGAAGCGTCATGAGAACTGGCCTGAGCGTTTTAGTAGAATTAACAAAAATGGACTTTAGATAAGAAACTCAAAACATGCTTTTGTTTCCCAGTTTTAAAATTAGACAAAGTAACAAAATCCATTCACTGCCCAACTAGGGGAGAAATTAGGGATCAGAGCCCAGGAAAATATTTTTCAAAGATAGCACTTTTCTAGGAAATGTCATACTCCTAACCTGCTATTTTATTAGAACTAAATGTCTTAGAGTACTACCACATGCTAAAATGACCCCTAGTGTTAGGAAATAGATTCCTTAGGGTAAATCATAAGCACCAATATCATTTGTTATATAGTAATGTTAGCACACATATTTTGTCATTGCTTGTAATACAAGAAGCTGCCTTAGCCAACACAAAGACACGAAGCATGCGGTAAAATGCAATCTCTTTTCTCTTGCCCATTAACTAAAAAAATATCTAATCCTCAGATCCACTCAAGCAATTTTAGATTTTCGTCATTCAGAAAGGACTTTTTCCTCATTACAAAATATATGTTTATAGTTATGAGTTATAGCAGATGTAGCTTCAAAGAGAAAAAAAGGCAGGATTTTTTAATAAAAATTCTGGTAGCTTCGTCAAGGACAGTGTGTGGAACAATTTCAAGGCAGGCTTCTGGAGTTGTATAGTTACCTCTATGTAGGAAATCCTAGCTTTTATGGACTAAATGGGAAAGTACTCAAGCTGTGTTAGCTGTGTAAATCATTAGACACGTTATAACAAGACTCCACAATGTATGAGTATTTAAAAGCACTTGTATCATTAAACCTACACAAATGAATTTTACGGTAGCCGTTTAACAGTAATTTTTATATCATAAAGAAATTTTGGAGGGAGAATATAATATGAAGGAATACAGTTCCCTCAAGGTAGCAAAGAAGTGCAACACATACGGTGTAAAGGGATCTCTTCACCAAGAAACACACAACCGTAAGAGGGTTGCATTAAGATTCCGTAATGAATAATTAAGCTCTATTATGACTTTTTTGGTGTTTGTGGCAAATAAATAAAACTAGTAACGTCAAGTGTGGTTTAGAGAAGCAAGGAGGGATTAGAACAAAAATTAACAAAAAAAAAAAAACCCTGCATGGATTGTAATTTAATGCAAAATGAAACATTAAAATGAAAAATAGAGGCATATGTTTAAGCTATTTAGAAACTATTGATTGTACATGATAAATATTATGTTAAAAATAAGAAATTTTGTTTGCACTGTATTATTTGTCAATGAACATCTAAAAAAAGTGAAAGTAAGAGCTAATAAAATATAGATTTATGATGTAGGTTAAAAAATCAAAATTACTTACCTAACAGCCAAGCACCATGTGATTAATTTCAGAATAATTGAATAAATATGCATGTTATAAAATGCAGAATAAAAATGTGTGTTAAAAATACACAAAACCACTTCCAAATACATGTTTTGAATTCTGCTCTGGGCTTAATTTGAAAGATTTCCTGGAGGAAAAAAACACCATGCTTCTTCCTCTGTGCTTAATGCTACCAGAGTAATTATCTAAGAAGAATATGCCATGATGATAAACTTCATTATTCAATAACATTAGTAAACATTAAAATATTTAAAGAATATTGTACTGCATCATGCTTCATTCTATTTAAATCTCACAATTATAGCAGTCTTTTCTTCATGTGTTTCTCTGTGGGATGAACTGCTAGGATTTGATAATCTGCTGCTAATGCAAGCTGATAGGACGGTCATATGACCTAATTAAACATCGAGATTCATATTTAAAATATATAATTACCAGAGTGTCATTTTTTAAAAATGTAATTACTGGTTTCTACTTTAATAGCAAAAATTGATGTTCATGTCAACAAGACTATGGAAAGCTTTCTGGAAAATGTTTTTCTTCTCTGATTGTAAAGAAATTATGAAAAATCTCAGTATTGAAACCTATTATAATATTATTTTTATGGAATACATTCTCTTGCCTTTCATGAAATTTCTGCTTCCAGAAGTATATTATATGTCATTTCTTATTGTCCCTTGGAATCCATTCGTCTCTCTTTACAGGAACATATTGTCATCTTTGGCATTTGAGAAATCCACGCACAAGGCTAGTGTGCAAGGTAAGCGAAGCAACAAACTTCCATTATTTTAAAACAAAATAGACTTGAAGATCTGGGGCTTTGGGGAGGAATTTTTCATTTCTGAATTGCACAAAATCATTCATAATTACCTCTTTGTGATTTCAATATCACAAATCCCTTCTGATTAGCCCTCTTAAAAAAAGAGAGGAACCCGCTTCAGAATTGTTTGGCCCTGTTGGAAGCCCGGTCTTAGAGAACGGCAGATTATGTAATTAAACTGAATCATGTATTTTCCATAGAAACAAGGCATGATACTGGGACTGATGCAAGCTATATGCTTATTTCTATATTTAGACAGCTCAACGTCAACAGCCTGGCGGTCCAGTGACTGATCAGCCAAGAGTTAAGGCAGCCTTCCTGGCTTTTCAATTTCAAAAATACGGAAAGACAGAAAAAAGTAGTGACTATAGAAATGGCTGATGAAACGTGAACCTTTTAAGGAACTGTTCTTCATTTGTTGTCCCCACAAATAGTATTTTCCCACTTAGAGGACTTACTTGCTTAGAGTGCAGTATGGAGCGATCTGGGGAAACAGTTACGCTTAGGATCCAAAAAGGAGATCCAGGCAAGAAAGTAAAAACGTTAAGTTCACAGAGGAAACATGCCAAGTACCTCCAGAAGTTGTAAGTGAAAATACAAATGTAATATTTAAGAAAAATGCTCTTTGGTTTTCTAAATGCGAAGTGTAAATTAGAGATGACAAGAATAAACTAGGCGTTATTGCCACTACCTCTAACACGCAGTAGCAGTAGGAAGGGAATAAATCACTGAAGATTTGTCAGCATTTGATGAAGTCCTTTTATGAAGGACACTCTTTCTTACGAGGTTTCACATCCACACCAAACCACAATTGTGGTCTTAAGTGCCCAGCTGTGCTGTATTTTGAAATCCGCAGCACTATACTCCAATGGAAAATGTGATATTTACATTTTACCTAGACAATCAGGAAGAAAATTCAGTGTCACAAAAGTCCCTCAAAATCAAGAGAACAAAAAAGTCTGCCAGCGGCTGTACAAACTCCAGAATACGCTGTTACTGGGAATCAATGGACATCAGCCTTAGAATGATTGTTTTAAACCAACAGCAATGGATTATTTAGAGACTTGGCAATTGAGTGTAGATACAAATTTTGTAACTACTTGTCATCTAAGTATTGAACATTATATTTAACATAAGAATAGACAGGACTGCATGAGGAGTAGTAAAAACACTAAAAATAAATTTGACATGGGAATCTGTAACCTGGATTAATTTTATTATAATTTCCCCCCCTTTTCTAGGACACCTGTAGATTGAATACAGATTATACAGAGACAGCAATTTCCTTCGAAGCCTCTACACATATAAATATATAGATTTATCTTCTGAATTTGCACAAAATGAGGTTTATTATGAATTCTTTACACATACACTTTACTTATGTGTGTGTAAAAATATTTAAATATATAAACGTGATTTTACAATTCTGACTATATACAGATTTTAGAGTCAAGCGGACTGAAAATTTGAAGTATAGCTTGTTCTCAATATTTCTCTCGCTTTATGTCTTAGACATAACATAATTTTCATGGCATACTGGAACAACAAAGGTGAAGACTTCTGGATATTTAGCTTTTGTTATTAAAATACCAAATGACTAAAATATCATTTGACATTATGTGATTTCATTTTTTTAGAAGAATAAATGGCAGAGTCATTTTTATTCATACTATTTTTTCTTAAAAATAAAAACACCAAAATATGCTAGCATTGGTTTTATAAAGAAAATAAAGCAAACCAAAGCCCACAGTCACCACCTCAGTTTTAAGATACACTGTAACTGCTCCGTCAGGTCCGCTGTGTGTAGTGCTCTGCCACCTGGTGGCCTCTTGTGAAACATTCAGATGTGCTGGGGCTTTCTGCTTCTCTTTCTTCCTATACCCCCTCCTTTACAGAACTAATGAATTATACTTCGATTTGACCATATACCTGTTGTTGTGGCAAACGCTGGCTAGTTCATGTGACTTGCCAATTTGCTTTTGCCTCATTTCAAAGCATCAGTACAAATTAGCTGCAAGATTAACAGAAGGTTTGAATAAGTTATTGGCAATTGTTAAGTAAAATGAAATGAGCTAGAATTTCTTGATTCTGCAGAGTGCTTTTCTCCAAAGAATTGGGAACAATTTATTTGTCTTACCATATTCTGAAAAATAGGTAGGGGTAGATATTAAGCCATGAAAAGCTAAAGAACAAAGGAATTCATTAAATGAATATAAGGAGATGGCATTTCCACGTGTTGATGTGAACATTGCTGCTAGTACATCATAGAAATGAACTGGGTAGACAGTTTTAGATGTCATGTCTGTCAACACATCTCATGGATGATGTAAACTGCTAGATCCAACCTTTGAATAATGATCACTTAGGAACTGATTATTATACCCTGATGAATCTTTCCATAATTATTAAAATAAAAAAACAACAACTTGCTGTCATGAATACATCTAGGTTTCAGAATGTAGTTTCTAAATGCCAGGGAACTGGTTCTCTTTGGCTGGAAATATCACACACACACACACACACACACACACACACACACACGGGAATATTATTCAGCCATAAAGAAGAATGTGGAAATATAATACACACACACACACACACACACACACGGGTATATTATTCAGCCATAAAGAAGAATGAAATCTTGCCATTTGTAACAATGTGGATGAACCTCGAGGGCATTATGCTAAGTGAAATAAATCAGACATAGAAAGATAAATATTGTATGATCACTTATATGTGGAATCTTAAAAACAAAAGAACCCCTCTCAAATCAAGCTTACAGATACAGAGAACAGATTGGTTGCCAGAGGTGGGAGGTGAGGCAGGTGGAAGAAATGGGTGAAGGGGATCAACAGATAAAAAGTTCCAGTTATAAAATAAATAAGTCATGGGGATGTAATATATACAGCATGGTGACTGTTCTTAACAATACTCTTGTTTATTTGAAAGTTGCTAAGAGAGTAAATCTCAAAAGTTCTCATGGCAAGAAAAAATATGTTTGTAAATATGTATGATGATGGATGGTAACTAGATTACTGTGGTGATCATTTTGCAATGTGTGCAATGTAGAATCATCACATTGTGCACTTGAAACTAATATAATATGTTAATTATACTTCAATGACAGAAAACAAACTATAAAGTAAAATAGTTAGGAAAATAATTTTTAGAAACCGACAATGTGCAAGACATTAGAGATACAAAAATGATGGAAATACAGCTTTCCCCTTCAAGCAAATTTTAGTACGGTGATGGTGGATGTATACGTGTGCAATTAATACATGCAAAGCTGCTCTTTGATATGTAGGATTACACAGGTGGAGACAAAGTGCTGTGTAATGTGTGGCATTACAAAGTATAGCACTGGGAAAGTGCTGAGAGAAACAAATGGAGTAAATTAATTCTGATGTGAGCTATCAGGAAAACTTCTCAGAAGAGGCAACATTGGAGCGCCTTGACTGATAAGCAGAATTTAAAGAGCACAACAGAAGATCATAGCAACTGCACAACAGTGTCCACAACGCAAACAAAACCTGTAATAACAGTGCTGGGAGGAAAGCTCTGTGAGGACAGGGACTTTGTTTTATCTCTATGTGACTGACACACGGTAGGCTCTCTATATTTTTTAAGGAAATGAATAAATTGTAAAAGCATTGTGCAATTGTTGTATCATGTGTGAATAGAAAGTTAACAGTTTGATCATTGGGAAAGATTTCACTTTTCCTCTTGCCTGGCTTATATTTGGAGGCAGGACTTTCTTTCCAGTTATCCTTGGAATAGCTAAAGAAAATAGGTCATTTCTGTGATATTCAAATGTATGAAAAGCTCGTGTTAATAAAACTGACAGAAAGATCTAGAAAAGGTATATAGAGAAGGAAAGAAATTCCTAGCATATTTAGATAGTCTGCCACCGATTTGAAAATGAGCTAACGAGGATGTCCAGAAGTACTAAATAATAAAATGCAGTCTTTGAAATGTAAGACTGAGTGGGCCAGCTAGAAGGAGATTAGACACAGCTGAAGAGGGAATGAGTTTGCCGAAAGATAACCCGAGTAAATGCCACAGAACGAAGCCCGTAGAGAGATGGGAGCAGGAGGGGTGGATGAAGGTGAGACAGAGAACAGATCGATGAAGCAGGTCCCCTGTATGGCTAATGGCAGTTTCAGAAGGAGAGAAGAGATAAGGAAAGGTGTGAACCATGGACTTTAGTTAATAATACTGTATAAATACTGGCTCCTCAGTTGTAACAAAAACACCACGCTAACGTAAGTTGCCGATAATAGGAGAAACTCAGCCAAAAGAGGGGCGAGGGGAGGTGTATGGGAACTCTCTGTGCTTTCTTCTCAGTTTTTTGTCAACCTAAAACTACTCTCAAAAATAAAATCTGTTTAAATAAATAAATAGTAACATGTGGTGGGTTAACATTAAAGTTTAAACTGAACCATTGTAGAGGCAAAAGGAAAAGGGGCTGAGACATAAATGCTTAGCAAAAACCAAACGCATCAAAGTCCAGGATGTTGAACTGTGGAGTTAAAGAACACAGGCATGTGCGGGTGTTCACATTCTTTTGCCCTGCGGAGTCTGCATGTTGAGAGCAGCGCAGCGGAGCAGGAGGGGCAGGAGAGGCTTGAGGGTCAGATCCTATTGTTAAAGACCTAAAAGTTCTAACCAAAAAATACTCCTTATTATAAAACTTATACAGCAGGGCTAGATTTACTCCCCCTCCCCAACCAAACTGAAGCCTGTTGGAAGGTCTGCCCACGGAAGGATGACAGCAGCCATTTTTCAAGATTCTTCAACACGTAACCCAGGAACTGACACCACTCCTGTCGAAATGGGGAAAGGTCATTGTTTACAAAACATGGCGCTCATCACTGTTTTTGCTCTCATGTGACATCAGGTGGTTCTGAAAAAAGCTTCATTTTTCTGGGTTTAAGTTTACCCATGGAGACCTTTGCCTTAGCTTCCAAAACATCGGTTGTGAGTGATGAGTTTGGGAGCTTGCAGACTCCTAAACAGGGCTGGCGTCATAGGTATAACCACACGTGTGGTTGCACAGTTCCCCTGCTTAGAAGTGCCCAGCACTTACCTTCACTCTCTGTCATTGCCATGTTGTAATTCTTAAACATCTTTAACAAGGGGCCCCACGTTTCTGTTTTGCACTGTCCTCTAAAAATGATGTAGCCAGTCCTGCTCTAATCTCTTATTTATTCTATAATGTACTAGCATCATAGTTTACCCCAAGTTTCTAACCAGGGGTTGCCAACCCTGGTGCCCACAGGGACCGAGCATTGAGGTGTGAACGATGGCATCAGGTGAGCCTGGGGGCCAGTAGGGGGCGCTGCAGCTGTGGTGAGCAGGCGAACGAGCCTTGTCTAAAAGGCGCAGCCAGTACTTGGCTCTGCTAAGCATCGTCACTGGCCCACTGTAGCCAGATCTTCCAAGTTTTAAAGAAAAAATAGAGATGTACTTTGAAGCAAAAATCATCATATTTAAAAATATTGTTTCAATTACGAAAAATATCCTCTGTGTGGGCCAAACAAAACACATCTGCTTGGCCATACCTCAGCTGCTAGCTTATGATGTCTGGCCTAAAATTTCAAAAGCAAAGCCACGTTTTTTAATTTCCCTCCCTATTTCTCAATAAACTTGACAATTTTTTTCTCCCGCTCTTTTTGAACACAAAGGTGGTTAACAATATAGAGAAATGGAGAATCCAGACCTTAGGAATAAATTCCTGTCTCCATCCCAGGGGGGAGGAAAAAAATTCCTTTCATTTTGGATGGATCAACAACAGTAAAAACAAACCACAAAGTAATTCTCCAATAGGTTATCTTGTATATTAAATTGTTACTAAATTTCCCTGCTGTGGTTATTAATATTGTTGATCAGGCATTTGGATTGAACATATAAGTAAAATAATAGATTAAGGGATGCTGAGCAAGTGGGATTCAGTGTCTTCTTGGGCTTGTGGCAGCACCTGGTCTCTTGTTGATTAACCTGAAGGGTCCCAGGTAGTTCTGTTACCTTAGATAAAGCCATCAGGAGGCAGCCCCTCCTTCCCAGAGTCTCACGCATGTACTCAGTTTATAGTATCTTGGGAAAACTTAGTTCCCTCGGGGATCAGTTTGAACGAGTGAAGGAAAGTCAGTGGATTATGAGCACTTGAGAAACACCGCATGTAATGCATTCCACCACAGGAGGCCGTCCTCCCCATGCCCACACTTTTCCTACAGCTTTTATGTATTTAGGGATGATTTTTAAAAATTGTCTCTTTTCTCTTTCCATCTACCTGCCTGGCAGGTATTTCCAGATTTTATTCATAAATTAGAAGAAACGTCCCAGACATCCTGAGACTGGGAGATTTTTTTCCTTTCCAAATTCCCTGCTGGCAGGACTGCTGTACATGTTAGGATATACCAAGGTACACTGCACAACTTCAAGGAGTGCTATTCGTACTGTTACCTGTGGGGGATAGCTCCTCCTCCTGCAGCGAAACAGCGTTTAACTGACACAGCTGGACGTGTCGCTATTCCTCCTGGCAGCTGCCTTAGACCTAAGGATAAGAACAGTGACCTGACTAATACACTGCTTACCATCCTGTCACATATAGACACAAAATCCATGACACAGGTATGTTGCAACACCTAATCATGTTACTTTTTCTTTATTCGTTAAAAACCCTTTAATTCTTCTCCAATGCCTTCAGGATTAAGTCTGTTACCAGTGGATTCTAAAAGGACTGGGCTGATTTTTATCAGAATCCTTTGGATGAA